CAAAAAACTATGTAAAATCTTGTATATATGTGTAATGTATATGCTCCAAAATACCATTCTCAATATTTGCATATATACTGAGAATAAATATGGGGAGAGAGAGTAAAATCAAGAGAGAGTGAATGAACATATAGACAACTCTAGAAAGAAATATAGCCAAATGTTAACAGCGGTTGTCTCTTAGAGTGATAATATTTAAGTCACTTTCATTATGGATGATTTTAATTTACATCTTTATGTTTCCCTATATTTTATTCAATGTCTACATTGAGCATATATTATTTTTTAATCAGAAAAAAACAAATACTATTGTTTAAAAGAGCCATTAGGAAGAAGAAAACTTCAGAATGTTTTAAAAAATAGTAAATTAATTTGTAAATGTTAGTAAATCACTGAAAAAAGCTGCTAATCAAGATTGCCACTTTTAAACCTATTGCTATACTCCTTTATTATACTTCTGCAGAAGAAAAATAAGTACATTTTGCCTAAAATGTAGCTGATTTACACATTATTTTTAAGTTGCTATTGATTAGTTGGCTTCAGCCCAGAATTTCTGAGAGTGTTTGAAAGACTATGTGATAGAAATTCAGCATGTGTATGTAGCACAACCCCATTTTTTCTTCACTGTTAAAGTTACCCGTTAATAGAGCAAAAACTTATATCCAAACTAAGCCTTCACAATACACAGAGAAGGAGAATAATCACCAGTTATTCACAGAATTTGCCAGGTGTTTAAAGCAGCTCTCTGGAGGTTCAAGACTAAGAGTAAGTTTTATTTATGTATCTAAGTGTGATCAATTGAACCATGAGTCATTTTACATCACACATGGTGCTTAACATCATCTCCAAGCTAAATAGTTGATAAAAAGACGACAAGGATGGGAACAAAGATGACACTCTGAAGTGTTTTTGGTGTGCGTCCCACAGACACATGTTGAGTATCCAACTGCCAGGCGATCCTCCTGTCTTCAGTAATCAGACATAAGCTATCAATTTCAGCTTCCAGACGGGTGGGACCTGGGCATTAGTATAGTCTAAGGGTAGTGATCTGGAAGCTTAAAGCATGGGCAGATATGGGGGTCACTTCCCCAAGGCCCACAGAGCAGAAATAAAATAAAAGGCAGTTTTTAGGAAAGATATCAAAATTAAAGTCAGACTGACCAAGTGGCTTGTCAGTCCAAAGGACGTATAGGCTGAGAGGACAACTCCTAGGATGAGGCAACGGGACAGAAGTCAAAACAAACAAGAGGATTCCTAGGAAAGGGCGGGCGGAGGAATTTCCTGAGGCAGACTGCACACTGCATAAGCTTCATCAAGCATGTTCTGCAAGGTGGGCTGGAAGGGAGGTGGGCAAACACAGGCCCTGCCTTCAAGGTCACAGCTCGGCGGAAGAGAGGGGCAGCGCCCGTTTATTTCCGCACACGTACATGCCAGCTCCACCCAACAGCTCCCTGGCCTGGAAACGAGCCTCAGATGCTCGGTTCGTGTTATATGGATGGATGGTGATAATAAAGACTATGTCAAACACCCAAGGGGGGCTGTGGATAGAGAGATGGGGAAGGGAAGCGGAATGGTCCAAAGATGAGGAGTCAGACGCCTGGCTTGAGTCCTTGTCTCTGCCACTAACTAGGGTTAACTTTGAGGAGTCATCTAGCTGCAGGTTTCATGATGGAGTTGGAGTAGATGGTTGCTAATACTCTCTCTTTCTTATTTTTCTTTTTCATCATAAAATGAATTCATTTATATTAAATCAGATTGGAAAGTCCTTTCTGATTCTGCCACTCTTCCAACTAAACTGAACAAATTCAAGTGTTTTATAACTCTTGGCCCTTTTAAAAGCTAACTACAATTGAAGCATCTGCTTGAACAGAGTTATTTAAAACAAAACAAAACACTTAAATTTAAGTAATATCCTTGCAATATCTCCCTTGTGGATATGTAAACTTTTAACCTCTTACCTTGAATAGAGTTTCCACATTTGCCCTACTCAGTCAACAATAAAAGTCAGATATGTCATTTCTTATATTTTTCCGTTAGCAACACACTGTAATTCCAAGTAGAAAGGGTTTTAGGTGGGTTGGTGTGTTTTTTTCTTTTTTCATTCTACAGTAAAAAAGAAGGTAATGCTAGTTTATCAGAATAATTTATGCCTTAAATTCCTCTAAGAGCAGAGAGAAAATAGCCTCCATTCCAACTTAGGCTTTGGTCTAAGCAGTTCCATTGCTATAGGATATGACATACTAAGAAAAAAATTATAAATCAGTATTACTAATGCTATTACACACTTTTTTAACTTCTAGATTTCAACATATACAGTGTCTTTGATTTTGTTTGAATCACTGTTCCTTAAACAATTAAATACCTTTGAAGACATTTAAAAACCAATTTTGGTATCTGTAATCAGTATCGAGGTACACAAAAAGACAGATGAGAAGGATTTTCTATTTTAATAATAATTCACAAAGTGAAGGCAAAAATTCAAGTAAGGTAAAATAAAGTTGGAAAGTAGAACATCGAAAACCCTAAAAGTCAGTAAAGTATGAAAAGGTTCCAAACTGCCAAAAGTAGTTATTTATTTCTTTAAATAACATATCGAAATAAAATTACTAATTTCCAGGGAGTATTATTTCTAATTTTATGCTCTATAAGACAATCATCTTGAAACCCCATAAGCCTTGATTAGCCAAATAAAGTTTCCGGAAAAGCTAAGTTTGAAAGGAGGGAGGGAGGAATTTGTAGCCAAAAACAAAATAGAGCCTCACATCTGTGTCCGCATCTGAAGCTGCCCTGTAAGATCTGATAACTTATTAGAAAGCAATCTTTTTTACAAGGCACTGGATTTACATCATACATTTTATCTCTCCAAGGAAATTCTAATTACTGGTTCCAAACATTTCTGATTGACTTGTTTTTTATTCATCCAAGGTATTCTCTGCACTATGATGAAATCAAGCCTTCAATAAAATTCCAAAAATTTCAGAACGATTTACAAGCTCCAGATGACTGGAAGTTTTCTCATGTCCATTTGGCATTCAGGAATAGAGTTTCACCAAATATATTCAAAAGAAGAATACATCTGGCACTCACTAAAACAAAGAACTCACCAGTGACATACTTGAGGCAAATTAATGTCACATAAATGCAAATTTGCCAATATTCTTTGAGGCCAAAGCTGCAATCCTATCTCCATGTACTTCAATGAGTTATCTTGCAAGGCACAGGCCACCATTTGCATGGGTTAATGTTTGGGGGTATTTTAGAAATTAATTTTAAAAATACACATTATCTTCTATGTACAGGTTTATAATGGGGGGGGGTGCATAGCAGACTTAGCATCTGCTAAAAACTCACTTAAATTCATCTTTCTCTTAGCCTTATGCTGACTCCAGTTCAGTGGCAAAGACAAGACAGAATCAGAGGAGGTTAGCACTTAAAGGAGTATTAGAAGCTATCTCTTCCAAGGACTTGCTTCAACAATAGCAAGTACAACAGAAATCCATATGTAAGTTCACCAGAAGAGGATTTTCATGGATAATAATGGTAAACTTAGCTTTTCAAAAAGTATTGAATTTTTAAGTAACAATATGAAAGCAGTCCAAGAACAAAATTTAATCAACATTATTCTTGCAAGAGTATGCTCCTGTGCTACAATAGTCAGTGATCACTTTTTTTTTATCATGTTTCTAAGAAGGCTGGTATTTAACCAATGAACTTTTTCTATGAAAGGCAAAGGCTTATACATCCAATACTGGCTCTCGCATTGGCTTCTCCTTCAACAGCTTCATAAGGGAATATACTTTTACAAACCTGTACAATTTGAAACATCCAGTAGGTGTACAGATGAAGGTAACAAGTCTGCAGTTAGATATACAGAAGAGTTCCAGGCTGGAGATAGAAATTTGGGAGTTTTAACCCACTGTTTCTGAAGAAAGGGTTGAGGATAGGTAGAAAGAATTCAAAAGAAATAAAAGAAAATGTCTGGCCAGATCACTTTACTGTGCAAAATCAAAGATCCAACTTAAAAACAAAGTTTGGAGATCACTAATGACTAGGAAAACAAACATTTGAATTTTGGTAGTAAAAATCTTCAGTACTGTTAGCAAAACCCCATATACTCAAGTAAGGTTCAGGATATGAAGCTCCTCTGATCTTGCCCAGTACTGTGTGGCTTGTAACCAAACTGGCAAGGTCTGAGCAACCCACTGCATACCCCAAAGATAAGGAGAGAGGCTTCCACCTGACAGCCTGTCTTTGCACTCTCTACCACCTTCCCCACAGAAGGGAAGGAAAGGAACTATTCCTTTCCCTCCCATCCTCTGCCTCCAGCTCCAGGTCAAAGTCCTTAATACCTTCAGTTTACACATTGTCTCATTCATGAAACTATTCTTTAAAGCTGTTTGCTTTATAGAAGTTTGCCTTGGAAGCAAACTATCAATCTGATTTTAGAGCTGGAGTCTTCAGAGATAAATGCAATCTGTGTGGTACGATTTGAAGAAGCCAGGAAAAAATTGTTTCCCCTCCAGATTCCTGAAATTCCACCGTTAGTATGAAAGGTGAGGGTGAAATGCCCAGCTTCCAATGACCAGTATTGGGGACTCCCACAAATGAACCAGTGCAGAGGAGAAAAGCAGTAGGTGAGAAAAGGAGGCCATTAAAAAAAATGAGATTTGAGAGAATAGAAACAAACCCCACCTCACATTTTTGTTAGTGTGAGTTCTACTTGGCCCATCCCAACACCGTAGGGCACCAACATTTGTTGAATGAATGCATTATCTTTTCTACCTTCGAGGAAGCGGACCCTCCCCCACTCCAAAACAAACAAACAAAAAGCATCTGAACGAAATGACAAAAGACTCAGCTCTGTGAGTGGGATTAATTTACTCTCCTGGAATTCACTAATTAGGAAAAAAAAAAATTAAGCAATTTCCTAGGACTCTCAGAACTCCTCCAGAGATGTTTCCCCCTCCACAGGCACCAGAAACTGCCCGGAATCTGGAGCATCACCAAGGCCGACTCAGACCCCAGATATCATGCGCCAAACGTGCCATCTTCGGCCTGGGGTTCCGGCGTGTATGGGAACTGGGAAGAGGGGCTGGCAAAGAAGGGAGGCGGGGCGGCGGCGAGAGCGCCGGCAGAGGGGCGCGCCCCCAGCCTCGCAGAGCTCTCCCGCCGGGCTCGCGGCGCTTGGCTCAGCCCACGCGCCTCCCCCGGCTCTCTCCTCCGCCCCCCTTCGCCCTCCCTCTTCCCTCCCTCTCTCCTCCTCCTCCTGCGGCAGCCTCCGCCGCTGCCAGACCTCGCCAGTTCCGACCCACGGGGCTGCCCTCCCCTGCACTCTCCCCTCGCTGCCCGGCCCGGAGCGCAGCGCTGCCGCGCAGGTAGGAGCCCCCGACGCGGGGGTCACACCATTGCGCCCAGTGCCCGCAGGGCTGCGCGCCCGCGAGTCAGCGGGCTGAGCTGAGGGGTGCAGTGTACCCGAGAACTGCCCCAGACTGTGCAGGATCTCTCAGGCAGAGAGGGAGGTGGAGGTGTGCGATCTCGGAATGCGATCTGTCAGCATGTGCGAGCACCAGGGTGACATCTGTTTGTATGGGCATGTGTGTGCGCGCCAGCAATCATCAGTCGGGGCTTCACCCATAGACGAGGGTTTGAAATTTTCAAGGGCTAACGTGAGAGATTTAAGGCGCACCTGGATTCCACGGGAGCTGGTTAGGACTGCCTCCTGGGAGCCTACTGTTAAGAAAAGGGACCTCACTTCACGGGGGGCACCAGGCCCGCCACCCCGAATCTGGTACCTGGGGCTTCGGTGCGGTCCCCCGGTTCCGGCCCTAGGCAGCTTCAGTCCTGAAGGCAGCGCGTCGGGACCGAGGAATTAAAAGGCACCAAGGAATCTCCGCTTCTGCACACATCCTGGCGCTTTTTAAACAAAGCTGCGCGCGGAGAACGGCGTGGAAATACCACGTTGAAAGTTTGTGCTGGGGGATGTGAGAAGGAGCTCCGAGGGGCAGGTATTCTCCTGGAACTGCGAGGAGATTGCCCCCCTCCCCTGCCCCCGAGTTTTGTTGCGGTGTTTTGTTTTGTTTTTAAAGTTTGAGGCCAAGGTAATTTATATTGGTTCTCAGGTATTTCTACTGAGCTGTGCAAAGAACGTCAGTAGCTGGAGGTGAGCTTATAGGTAAAAGCCTTAACTTCCAAGAGAATAGATTTACTGCCCCACCTCCACTCAAATAATAAATAAATAAATAAATAAATAAATAAATAAATAAATAAATAAATAAGCAAGCACGCACCATCTCTTTTGAAATTAATTACTCTCTGTCATTTCCTTCCGCCCCGTTCTGGAGCCTGCCCTGTGGGTGCAGTGTAAGAGGTATGTGCTTTGTGCATGCTGAGCACAGCCCGGTAGAGTGAGGTGAAGTGGAATTCTCAGCCCAGTGACAGACTTTGGTGCCTCGTTTGGCCTCCGGAAGGTTGGGGAGGGGGAGGGGAGGGGAGAAAATGGATTCGAAGTTGGGTACGGTGGAGCCTCGGCTTCCCCCTCCCTCCCT